CAGGAGTCAGAGGAGCCTACCAAGAGCTGCAGTTCTGTGGTGGCTGGTGGCACAAAGATGGGGATGCTGACTTGGCCGATCCCATTTGTGTTCTGCTGAAAGTCTTCAACTTTTGAGGTAGACCCAGAGAACAGCGTGGCAGAAACTTTGACGGGAACATCAGAGGCTATAGACCCTGACAGTTCTCGGACCAAGGCCTGGGGGAGCGTCAGTTTAAAAAAGAAAAAACAGTCAGCACAGCTGTGTGCGGGCCCTGGTCCACATCACCCCTTTCAGTCCTGCCCCTCCAGGAGAACCTCCAGCAGGAAGTAGGCCCCAGGCACGAGATGTCGTTTGGTGCTGCTGAGATCCAAGGAGAAGGAAGACGACACGAAGCGCCAGGATGTGAGCTCTGCCTCCTCCATCTCTCCCCCTGCAAGATGGAGGTCAAAGATTGGAAGACAGAGCCCGGGAGGAAGGAAACAAGAGACCCCTTGAGTGTTGCTTTGCCACCACATTTGCTGAGCCCCAACACAGGGCCCAACATACATCTGCATGTCACATATCCTCTGGCTAAGGGATAGATGGATGGATGGGTGGATGACTGAGGAGCAGAATTTAAACAAGCTGAGACGTGGAGGGAACAGATCCACACTGGAGAGAGACGTCTCCTGCCTGGTCCTTCCCGGCTGTGGGCCAGAGATGATGTAACAGAAATCAGGGGTGGTACTGGGGCCAAAAAGCAGAGCTGGTGGTGTCATCTGGATTTTGGGTTTATTTGTTTTGATTTCTTGACGTTATCAGTGTTTGCCTACCTGCATGTAAGTACACCACATGTGCACGATGCCTCCAGAGGCCACAAGAGGGCATTGGACCTCCTGGAACTGGAGTTACAGGTGGTTGGGAGCTGCCATGTGGGTGCTGGGAATCAAACCTGGGTCCTCTCCCAGAGCAGCCAGTGCTCTTAACCGTTGAGCCATCTCTCTCTCTAGCCCCTAGTTCGGACTTTTTTTTTTCTTTTTGAGACAGAGTCTCCCTATAGCTCCAGCTTACCTGGAACTCCCTATGTAGACCAGGCTGGCCTCGAACTCACAGAGATCCGCCTGCCTCTGTCTCCCGAGTACTTGGATTAAAGGTGTGTGCCACCATGCCGGGCTTAGTGTGGATTTTAAATGCCCCCTAAATGTCCCTAGAGGGGCATGATTGGGAGGTAGTGGTAAAACTCTTTATAAGGTGGGGCCTAGTGGAGGTCTTAGCACCACTGGTCACGCACCCTTGAAAGGGTATTGGGACCCTGTCTCTTCCTTTCCCTCTTTTGCTTCTAGGAATGAGGTGAGTGGTTTTGCCCCATCATGTGTCCCCACCACGATGCAATGCCTTGCCACAGGCCCCAAAGCAAAAGGGTCAGCAGATGACAGGCTAAAACTGCCAAAACCATGAACCAAAATAACCTTTGCTCTTTATAAGCTGATTTTTTTCCTGTGTTTGTTACAGTGCAGCTCAGAAGTCAGAGCAAAGGGCCAAGGTGACACCCACCTGGAGACTCGATGACGGCCGCTGCAACGTACAGACGCAGCCCCAGCAGGTCGTTGATCCCCATATTGAGATTCTCCAGAGCAACCTGGAGATCATCCTTTGAGAGGGCAATGTGACTCTGGCCTTCCACTAACTGGGACAGAGAAAACAGGGTGTGAGGCCTGAGTCCCTGCGTCCCCTCCTTTACCACATTCCCACCTTGCTCTGCTCTCCTCCTGCCCCTCTTTTACCATGTTCCCACCTTGGTCTGCGACTCCAGGCCCCGGAGGAAAGTCTTCTTCCCATCCTCATCCATGAGTGCAAAGCGTACATACACCACGCCCTGCACAGGCTTCCCATAGATGTACCTGTTGCCATAGGGAAGATGGGGAAGGGCCAGGGCTCAAGGCTTGGGAGGTAGTTCAGTTTGTAGAATGTTTTCCAGCACCGGATATGTAGAGACAGGGGCTTCCTGGCTCCAAATTAGTGACCTCCAGCCCAACAAGAGACCTCAAAGGAGGTAGATAATGTTCCTGAGGATGACATCTGAGGTTGTCCCCTGGCCTACACAAGCATACACACACACACACACACCTGGCACCACACACACACACACACATACACACAGACACACACACATACAGACACACACACACGTACAGACACATACACACACACATACAGACACACACACAGACACACACACACACGCACACACATACACACACACAGACACACAGACACACACACATACAGACACACACACATACACAGACACACACGTACAGACACATACACACACACATACAGACACACACACAGACACACACACACGTACAGACACACACACGTACAGACACACACACACACACACAGTAAGAATAGCAATAAAAAGAGGGGTTAGTGAGATGGCTCAGCGGTTAACAGCACTGACTGCTCTCACAAAGGACCCAGGTTCAGTTCCCAGTACGCACATGGTGGCTAACAACCACCTGTAACTCCAGTTCCAGGGAATCTGACACCCTCTTCTGGCCTCTGTGGGCACTGCATGCATGTGGTATACTTAAACACATGCAGACAAAACACTCTTACACACAAAAGAAAACTAAATTGTAAAAAGAAAGCAGAGAACAAGGGTGGAGGGAACCTGGCCTGTGCAGGGAGCCTTGGGAGTGGGAGGTGGGGTGGAGGGGGCGGTTACCTGGCCTGGATGTCTAACTGGATTTCATCAAGGTAGCCTGGAGCAGTCAGGATATACGGCTTCCCAGGGGTGATCTTCACCTCAAAGTTGGGAAGGACTGACCAAGGGTGAAGGGATTGGTGAATCAGGTACTAGTACAAGGACCCCACAGACCGCCGTCCCCTCGGGGCCGTTCTGCCATCACCCCCTTTCCCCCATCTCTCCCTTCCTTCGTGGGAGGAGCTGCCGTCCTTCCTGCCCCCAGCACTCACCGTATTTCTTCACTTCAAACTGGGTGCTGCTGTTAGACTGCAGGCCGTCTGAGAACCGGGCTGAGATTGTCCAGGTCCCTGGCCTGAGGATGGAAGGGAGTCAGTCTACATACAGAGAGCCGTGGCCTGGGTCCTCCAGAAGGGGACTATGGGAAAGCCCTTGGCCTGGGTTCCTCGGGACGGGGGCTATGAGAGAGCCCGGTGGCCTATGAGACTCAGAGTCAAAATGTCTGACCCTATGTGTCAGATGTAGGCAGTGCCACGGGAACCAGGACTTGGGGTGGTGTCAATGGGGTCCCCAGTGGGGGAGGCTCACTCTGAGATGTCTGGAATCACAAAGTCATCCTGGAAGATGGATGTGGAAGTAAATACCTCCTTCTTCCGGACACGGAGGCCATGAGAGTTCTGTAAGTGAAGCAGATGTGATGTCAAGTTGCGGGTTACAACAGTGAACAGGGTTAGGAAGGTCAGAGGTCAAGGCCGTACCTCCACCATGATGGTGAGGGTGTCAGTGGATGGGCGCATCTTTTGATCCAGTGCAAAGACCCGGTACCGAACTAGGAAGGAGGATTGGAGGTGAGTAGAGGGGGTGGAGGGGGGTCAGCTCCAGGGAGAGAGTAGAGATCCAACTGCTGAGCAAGCCCAGCATGGTGCTATCTGTGGAGTCTCCTGACGTAAAGGACACCAAACATGCCCCGAGCAGGCCGGGAGGGAGAGAAGCTGAGACTCACCCCGCTGGCCAGGGTTATAAATGGGCTGATCTGTCTGCAAGAAGAGATGTCCCCGGCGGGTGGAGAAAAGCAGATTGACACCTTGAATGTCCATTTGTTTGGACAAATAGGTCTTCAGCCATGGAGACTGAGCCACCAGCTGGACCTCAGGGGCTCTGCGCAGTTCGAAGAGGCCGCAGGTCTTCGCGTCTCTCAGTGGGACCTGTGCGGGGAGGAGAGGGAGCTAGACTGAGAGCCCAAGAGATACACACCAAGGAGATCACAGGGCTGGAGGAAGGAAGAGGATGTCGATGAGGGTGATAGAGACTTGAAAAAAAGAACAGAGGGGCTGGATGAAGTGGCACACGGGGGTAATCCCTAACTTGGGGGCTGAAGCAGAATTGCCATGAGTTCATGTCCAGCTTAGGTTACAGAGCAAGCCCTGTCTATCAGTAAAAGAGGGCACAGTGGGGAGCCCTGAGAAACAGCGGGGCACCAGCACATCACCTCAAGACTGAGGAGTATGAAGTCATTTTCTGAGTTGAGGGCGAAGTCCTTCTTTGGGGAGCAAGAGCGGGCAGCAGCATTTGGGTTTCTCAGGAATACCGATCCTTTCACTACCTGTCCTGGAGGAACATCCTGGAGCTGCACCCCCACTGACAGGGGGACCCCCAGATGAACCACAGAAGGGGAGAACAGGAGCAACCTGGGGGAACATGAGGTCCACTTCAGATCCAGCCCACCCCCCACCACTCCACTCCCCCTCACTCAACTGGGAGCTATGGCTTACCCTGCCCCACCCAAGTACCCCATGTTTTGCCCCAGGACCTGGGCTTCTGCAGAGACAAGGTGAAGGAGCTGGCCAGCCAGATCAGCCCCCAGAGGAGCTTCATGGCAGGACGATCCTGGAGGGGGTCAGGTCCGCCTAACTGCCTGCTCTCTTCTGGTCAACCCAGGGTTTGGGGAGAGTTGACTCTGGACCTTGCCCCTCCCCTTGCCCAGCTGGGCTGGGAAACCACGTGATGACCAAGAAATGCAACTGGCCCCAGGCCCAGTGCTGGGGAAGCAGCCTGGACACCAGGTCTCTGAAGAAATCTTGGCCCAGAAATGTAACTCACCCTTCCGTTAACCCTCATCCCAGTGCCAGGTGCCTCCTGTAATGGGGTATGTGCATGTGTGTGCACGCATGTGTGCTTACCCATGTGTGAGTGTGCAAGACTCCAATGTGGCCTAGACAGACAGAGCAAGCAGGTAGAGTTCTAAGACCCATGCCTCTTTCAACTCAGACTGAAGCAGTCTTGGGCTTTGCGTAGGTCCTAACAGGTCCTGTGGTTCAGAAGATGGGGTGCACCCTCACCACCCATAGGGAGAAGGGCCTGAGTGGCAGCTAACCCTTGTCCTCTCTGAACTATGGCACGATGTCCAGGCCTCAGCTGGGCTCCACCTCCATCCCCAAATGAGACACCTGAACATGCTTGTCACATTAAACAAAGGACGCCAGACGACAATGCAGACAGAAGTGCTTTATTTGGCAATTTCAATCCAACATGTAAGGGACAGGACCCCGGTTCCTCCCAGTCTCCCCGTAGTCCCACCTTCCGGCCCCCAAACAGAGCAATGATGGCACCTTCCCCAACAGGCAGCAGCTACAATCTTGGCACAGCTTCTGGGCCCTCATCTGTGGAAGGCAGAGCAGTCGTGCCCACGGGCCACCTCAGACCATTAGCTTGCACACCAGTTCCATCTGGCCCTGTACCCAGAGCCCAGTACGCATCCTGGTGCCCAGGCCTGCCCAGGGTGATGCTGGCTTAGTTACCAAGACAGCACTCCTGGGAGCCCCAGTCCAAGACTGAGCATCAAGTACATCCTCACGTATCTGGCAGGCGCAGGAGGGTTCCAGAGGTTGTGGAGACACTGTAAGAGAAACAAGGCTGGAGCCAGCGGCTGGGCCAAGGTGTGAGAGCTCAGGACTTGGCAGGGTGTTTTCCTGAGTCCTAGAGAACATGAGGGAAGCTGGGCTTGGCTTGCTGGTAATAAAGCATAATGCAGGAGACCAGGGGGTCAGCGCCCTTCCAGAGGCTGGACAAGACTCACCAATCCACCAGTTGGGCTCCAATCAGGTCATGCACGTGGTAGGCCAGGCCGAGCCGCACTGCGGCAGGGGGCCTCCGGCCCAGAAGCTCTGACAGGAGGAGCTCCCGGTACTTGGTCTTCCGGACCATGCCAAGTACAGCCTGGCGCCCTGCAAGAGAGGTGGCCCAAGGAAAGGGAAGGGAGAGTCAGACCTGGAGGCCTACAGCACCTCCAAGGGTGCTCTTGGGTTCTGGCTGCGGGCAGGACACCTTTAACAAAGTACTTGACGAATCTCCCAGCTCCAGGCACAGCCAGCCACCAGCTCCCAGCATCCCGGACAGTGAGGACTCCGGCGTTCACCAGGTGCCTGTGGGCAGTGGGCAAACAATGCAGCCAGGCTCTGAGAACCCCACCCGACATCTGAAGCCCAGAAACGCGGGCAACCAGGTCTGAGAGTATAACCCGGGCAGGGATCTGTTCACCCTGCTGGTTACTGCTCCAAGCCCCTGCCTGACGGCCTCCCTCTAAGGATTCTTCTGTGGAACTTTGTCTCTGTGTGTTGGTGGGTGGCGAGTGTACTTGTCTGTGTGTGAGCACATGTGCAGGCAGGTGCCCGTGTACATGTGAGCGTATAGAGGCCACAGGTTTATGTCAGGTGTGTTTTGCACTCTCGACCTTGGTGTTTGAGACAGGGTCTCCACTGAACCTGCAGCTCACTTGGTTGGCTTGATTGGCCAGCCAAGGAGCTGCCCTTCATGGATGCAGGGGACTGGCACTTGGTCCTCGCTTACACAGCAGACACTTGCCAACTAAGCCAACTCCCCAGCTCTCCTCAGCACCAATCACTTGTCAATAAAACAGCTTCTCTTGGGGCCTCCCTGAACTCAGGCCTGGAGACATACTTAAGGAGTGAGGGTCCTCTCTGGGCCCACCACAGTTCCGATTCTCCTCACATGGCTCCTGCCACTCCCCTGGGGGAGATCAGGACATTTTAGAAGGTGTTTACATACACCTGGGTTACAAAGTGAGAGGTCCGACACAGACCCTTCAATCATCCTTTTACTGAGACCTTGCCCAGTACTTTTCTTTATAAGGGCTCCTTTTAAAAAAATGTTTATTTGTATTTTATATAAATGAGTGTTCCATCTGTGTGCCTGTAAATGCATCATGTGTGTATAATTCCTCTGGAGGTCAGAAGAGAGACTTGGAGCCCCACATGGAACCACCTTGTGGGTGCTGGGAACCAAACCCAGGTCCTCTGGAAGAGCAGCTACTGCTCTTAACTGCTGAGCCATCTTTCCGGCCCAGGCTAGGGCTCCTCTGAACATGGGTGCTTAGTGTTAGAGTCCAGGTCTGCAGACAACCCTCTCCCAGTGCAGCAAAGCCTCACAAGACAGGCCCTGAGGAAGTAGCCACACAGCCACATTTAGAGCTGTCTCAGCACAAAGCTGTTCCCCAGATAATTTTAGAAGATGAACAGGCCCCTGCACCCAGACCCACTGATGTAAGAGCTGTCTCAGTTCAAGCTACTTCCCTTGGAACTGTAAAGATTATTTTGCCACCTTCCACATTCCCCAACCTCCCATAAGAACTTCCTCAGCAGTCACAAGGCCACTGGTTGCCTTTCTCTCCCCAGCTGAGCTGCCAGCCACCAGCAATCCTAAGAAATAAGGTTTGCTTTGCCAGAGTCCTCCTATGATTTCTGTGACTATTGCCTGCTCAGCTTTTATCTAACACTCAGGACACCATTATCCACCCTTCTAGTCCCAGCATGAGCACTCCCAGGCCTAGTTCCTGCCAAGCCCCGTATGTATTTGGCAAGCCTCTAGTTTTCCTGACTTCTAGCTCAAGTCTCTTTCCAAGGCCCCATACAACACAGGCCTCCTCTCTGGAAGGCAGACAAAAACTCCAGTCCCTATTAAACAGAAGAGGCTGGTTCACCTAGAAGGGAAAGGCTGGACAGGGCTAGAGGGAAGTGGGGGAGGTACAACAGATACCCAACTCTGTTGACCCTTTGAGTCTCACGTGATCTCTGGATCCCTGAAGCCAAAGGTCTGTGTCATCTGGTCCTGTTGGAAACTAAGGTCTCCACAGGCTGGAAGTACAGAGGTCAGGAACTTCTGCACTGCTCCAGCACAGGGCCGGCCATCACAGGCCTTAAGGACCTGGAACCAGAGATGACATCTGTGATTAGCCCCATGGTGGCTCTCCACCCACTTGCATCCACAGGACGGCGTTCTTCCCAATACACATGGGGCTGTCACACATACTCTGGTCCTGTAATCTTCAGTGAAGACAATTCCATGGGCATCCAAGTCAAAGCCCAGCTGGATGATTCTGATCTCGCCCCGCTCCTGAAGCTCCTTCTGTCACCACAGAGATGAGAATGAAGATCAGGGTGAGCAGGCACCTGTACTCTAGGCACTGGGGTAAGGGCTTTGACTGCCAGAGACAGAGAGAGAGAGAGAGAAAGAGAAAGAGAGAGAGAGAGAGAGAGAGAGAGAGAGAGTGTGTGTGTGTGTGTGTGTGTGTGTGAACCAGGACACATTCACTGTGAAGGTAGGTAGACCATCAAGCAGCCTTTTCCAAACAGTCACCCACCCTCTCCCATTGTCAAACAACTGATATATACATTTCCTAAGATCAGACCCACCCATGCTAAGCACTACAATTAAATATCGATAAAGACACAGGCCTTGCCCGCAAAGAATCAGCAGTCTAGATTTGGGGTGGAGGGATATGAGGAGAAATACTGGATAAGATATTTTAAACAAATAAAAATGGTACTGGTCATGAGGGTGCACCTCTGTAACCCCAGCACTGGGTAGGCAGAGGCAGGAGGATTTTGAGTTTGAGGCTAGACTGGGCTATGAGAGATCCTGCTTTAAAAAGAAATCAAGTGAGCAAACCAACCAACCAGGACCTCTGTTAACCAGAACGCAAGAACCAAATTGAGTAAAACTCTTGCCACGGAGCCTGATACCCCGAGTTCAATCCCAGACCCTACACAGTAGAGAAAACTGACTCCCAAAAGCTGCCCTCTGACATCCACACACGCAACATGGCACTTTCATGTATGCATACTTGTGGATCCTCTCACACACACAGTAAATGAATGTAAAGCATTTTTAAAGATGTCTAAACATTAAAAAGCTCACGATCATAGGAATCACTAGACAAATATATTAAAGTGAAAAAAGAAAAGAACTCACACAGAAATGAAACGCAGAAGGCATTTGCTGATCTGAGCACATGACCAAAAATAACTTCCCACACAGGGAGCAAAACTCAGATGACAGCACAAAAGACCTCAGAAGACATGAAACGGTTCTCAAAAAGGTGGCTGTTGGGCTGGGGAGATGGTGCAGCGGTTAGGAACACTGTTCTTGCAGAAGACCTGGGTTCGAATCCCAGCACCCACAAGGCAGCTAACAACTGTTGTAACTCCAGTTCCAGGGGATCCAACAGCTTCTGTCCTCCGCAGGCATTGCACAACACAGGTGCACTTACCTACATGGAGGCAATACACACATACACATAAAATAAAAATAATAAATAATAAATAAAATATTTTAAAAAATACGTAGGTCACAAAAAATGTCCCAGTGGGAATTTTAAAACGAAAATAAATGAAATTAAGACCTCAACGGAGGACTGGAGATAAGGCTCAGTGGTTAAGGACACTTGCTGCTTTTCCAAAGGACTCAAATTCAATTCCCAGCAACCATGTCGGGTGGCTCACAACCTCTTGTAACTCCAGTTCCTTAGGGGTTCCAACACCTCTGACCTCCTTGGGCACCTGCACACACCCCCTCCCCCACCTATATACATAATTAAAATTAAAAATAAATTTAAAGAAATTTTAAAGATCTCAGTGGGTGTATGGAATGTACTAGGTACAGCTGAATAAAAAAATCTGTGAGGGAGATTTAATAAACTATCAGAGCACAACTAAAGAGAACCCACTATATTAAAAACACAGAACAGAGCCTTAGGGAGTTGAAGATCCAACGTGCTTTTGAGTCCCAAATGGAAAGGGGCGACAATATCTGAAGAGCCAGTAATGGCTGGAGAGATGGCTCCATGGACAAGATACTGGGCACAAGCCTACTGACCGGAGTTCTAGCCCCATCTCCACGCCTGGGACTCACATGGTGGAAGGAAAGAATGGACTCCCTCAAGTTGTCCTCTGACAGGTGCATGGGCACATGCTACACACATGCATGCACGCACGCAGGCAGATGGCTTATGAATCTAATCCCCATAAACACAGAACCAAGGAACAAGGTAATCAGTGAGGAAGTGGTACACTGTGACTGTCACCACAGCCACCAAGGAATTAGTACCTGAGTGACTCATACTGTTCTAAACGTACATACAGCGCATTTAGCATAAATGCTGTATAATATAAAGCAAATCTTCATAAATTTCAAGTGCACAAAATCATACTGTATTTGTTCTCTGGACACAATGTCACCTATGCCAGATCAACAACAGCATGGTAATAAGAAAATGCTGCAGCCAGGTGTGGTGATGCACACTTTTGATCCCAGGAGGCAAGGCAGGTGAATCTCTGTGAGTTCCAAGCCAGCCTAGTCTACACAGCAAGTTCCAGGTCAGTCAGGGCTACACAGTGAGACCCCGTCTCAACACTCCCACAAAAAAGAAAATGCTTGAAAACCATGATATACTTTTCTTACCAACACAGTGAGTCCAAGAAAAAGGTCACAACAGAGGTTACAGGACACTTGATTGCTAATGAAAATATCATTTGAAAGTTTAGATGAAATCTATACTTCATCAAAAAATATATCTTCTGCCGGGCATGGTGGCGCACGCCTTTAATCCCAGCACTCGGGAGGCAAGTGGATCTCTGTGAGTTCAAGGCCAGCCTGGGCTACATAATGAGTTCCAAGACAGCTGGGGCTACAGGGAGACCCTGTCTTAAAAAAAAAAAAAAAAGTTTCAACATAGGAATTTTATGGTGGTTGTTGGTAGAGCTAGGGATTGAACCCAGGGCCTCAAGTGTGCTAGGTAAGTGCTCTACCTCTGCCCTAAACCTCAGCCCTAACACGGATTTTGAAGGCACATAATTCATTTGATTTCACATTCTCATACTGGAGAACAATTTGCCTAAGGATGAAACATCAACGTCTCATATAGTAGATGTTTCCATGAAATTTAGGACTTGTGAATTATGCTGGAATGAGTTGAGACTGGCTCTTCACTACCTCCCTTACCTGGTCATCTCTTTCCTACTGGGACCCAAACAAAATGTACACTGAATCCTTTTTGAACCCTTTAAGACTTGTGTTTTTAATATTTTGGGCTTTCTTTAATTGGTTATTAAATCTGCCTCACAGATTAATAATCAAGAGGGGTATTTTGGCTGGGCGTATAGCACACGCCTTTAATCCCAGAGGCAGGTGGATCTCTATGAGTTCAAGGCCAGCCTGGTCTACATAGTAAGTTCCAGGACAACTGGGGCTACAAAAAAAAAAAAAAAAAAAAAAAGAAGTGGGGTCTCTAGGAGGTCACTGGCCTGAGGGCTCCCATCTCATGAATGGAGCTAAGGCCCTGGTAATAGACAGAGCTGTGAAGAGCTGACCAGTCCTTCCTCTCTTCTGCCACGTGAGGACACAGCAACAACTCTGAAAAGCAAAGCCAGCCGGCCCTCACCAGACATGGAGTTAGCTGAGGACTTGATCTTTGACTTCCAGCCTCCTCAACTTTAAGAAATAAATCCTGTTGTTTATAACATAGACTAAACAGTCTCTGGTACTTTCTTAAGGCAGCATGAAGAGACTGTAAGACATACAGTAGTTTAAAAATGGGTAAAATCAGTCTTTTTGAGACAGGGTCTCCCTGCAGCCCCAGCTATCCTGGAACTCACTATGTAGACCAGGCTGGTCTCGATCTCACGGAGATCCACCTACCTCTGCCTCGAGTCCCTGGATTGAAGGCTTGAACCACATGCTGTTTTTTTGTTTTGGTTTGTTTTTGTTGTTTTTTTTTATCTTTTTGAGACAGGGTCTCCCTGTAGCCCCAGCTGTCCTAGAACTCACTATGTAGGCCAGGCTGGCCTTGAATTCACAAAGATCTGCCTGCCTTTGCCTTCCGAGTGCTGGGATTAAAGGCATGTGCCACCACGCCTGGCTTGTTTTGTTTTTTAGACATTCATTTATTTATTCTGTGGGCAGGGTCACATGAGCCACAGTGAGCATGAGGAAGTCAGAGGACAACGTGTAGGAATCAGTATTCTTCTACCATGTGGATCCCAGAAATCAAACTCAGAGTGTCAAACTTGGTGGCAAGTGTCTTTACCGTCTTAGCCACCTCACTGGCCCTAAATAAGTTTTATTATACCATAAGTCTGAGACTGACTGGTGTAAGGGAAAAGCTAAGGAAGAGGAAACTGTGGAAGAGGCTGAGAAGGAATTTCCCAGACTAAGATGAATTGAGGCAGGTGGCTAACAGTGAAGGCAGTGGTCTGTGAAGAGCACAAATAAAAACTGAAATATATCCACTAGATTTACTAGCACAAGATGAATGAGACTCTGTAAAGATGGACTCTCTGGACTCTCCCTCCAGGTGAAGACCTGCCCTTGTCTCCTCCCTTGAGGGTTAATCCAGGGGGGCAGGTCAGGGACCTGCCTGGGGGACCACCCCTAGGGAGGAGGTTCACCCTAAGACAATATGCGTTTCCTTCCCAGAATTCCTGCCCATACTGCCAGCTCAGCGACCAGGAAACGGGCTAGTCTAGCTGCCTTTCCTTTTTTCTTCCTGTCTTTTTTTCATTAGGATGCTAGCCAGAGTCTAAGTATGCATTTAAACTCCCTAACTAGCACTTTGGGCTTCCTTACCTTTTCTAAAGCTCTCCCTCCACTGGATGGCTGTGTGCCTGGGTGGCTGACCTCTCCAGCCTCACCTCAAGCAGCCCAGCCTGGTTCCTCTTCTTTTTTTTTTTTTTTTGGTCTTTTAGAGACAGGGTCTCCCTGTAGCCCCAGCTGTCCTCACTGGAACTCACTATGTAGACCAGGCTGGCCTTGAACTCACAGAAATCCGCCTGCCTCTGCCTCTGCCTCCAGAGTGCTGGAATTAAAGCATGCGCCACCACGCCCAGCAGTTCCTCTTCTTATTCTTCTCCCTTCCAGGCAACTGCAAGGTTGACTGCTCATCTGCCCTGGGCTTTTCCTTTCTAACTCTAATATACAGTCCTCAAGTTTCCATTTGAGTCAGGTCTTCGTCCCCGAGAGTCCATTTGTGTCCATTCTCAGACGCTTTTATTAATTTTACTAATGAGACTAAGACCCCAAAGAGGGGACCCTGATTTCCCAGGTACCACATGACATCGCTGCTGGGATGCGGGCAAGATTCCCTGTAACATTTCTTTCCTGCCTTTTAATTCTTTAATTGGCAGAGCTCTAAAATGCAGTGGCTCCTACACCCCTAGACGGAATCACTGAACTCTCATTTTCTCCAAGGAGCTTTTGAAATATGCCTCTACAAATCTTAAATACTTTATCTGTATTTGTCAGGAGAGAAACAACCCACCTTTAAAGCACAGCCTTGCAAACTTAAAGGGATCACACACTAGACAGCCACTCCATAACTCTGACTTGTGTATCATAGGCCCAGATAGATCTGCAGGACTCTCATCCACACTATCTCCGCATGTGCCTTTGGACGCCCACAAGCACCTCCAACCCAGCTGGTACACCTAGTACAGTGCTTTCCCCCTCTACTCCATCCCCGAGCCACGGGTCTGTCACCTAGAAGGTCTGGGGATTACACTGGACTGGTTTCTTCCTCACTCATCCTGACTTCACCATGACTTCCCAAGGCCTGTCTTCTCTAACCTTGTCTAACAGCCCATACCACCTCAGGTGGAAAGAGCACAGACTGAAAGACCTGGTGCGACCTGACTTTTGCCATATCCCTGAACCTTCTCCATGACTACTTCCCCCAGAGTTGTTTTTTTTTATATATATTTTATTATTTTTTTATTTTACGTGTATGAGTACTGCCTACATGTATGTAAGTGCATCTGTGCCATGCAGTGCCCCCTGACACCCTCAGAAGTGGGTGTTGAGTCTCCTGGAACTGGAGTTACCGACAGGTGTTAGCCACCATGTGGGTGCTGGGAAATGAACGCGGGTCCTCTACAAGAGCAGCCAGTGCTCTACCCGCTGAGTCATCGCTCCAGCCCCTTCCCCTAGAGTTTTGCTCTTCCGTCTGAGTTGGCCCAACACCTGCCGAGTGGCTGGCGTGCTGGCTGGGGGTCTGCGTGGCTGCTCACCAGCTGTAGGTCGGCCACAGTCCTGTCAGGCACCAGGCTGTACACCTGGCTCCTCAGCGCGATGGGCGGCAGCGTGTCCTCGAACAAACCTCGCGGGAAAAGCTGCACCAGTTCGGCCACGGCCGCACGCGTGGACCCTGTGGGAAACGGATCAGGTCGAGCGGGGTCCGCGGGGAGACCACTGGGAGGTGCGGTCCCGAACGTCAAGCCCCAGTTGCCATGGTTACCTGCCCTGGTCCTGGGAGGGTCCTCATCCACTGGACCGCCGCACCCTGTTGCCATGGTTACCTGCCCCGGTCCTCGGGAGGGTCCTCTCCCACCGGACCTCCGCACCCTGTTGCCATGGTTACCTCCCCGGGTCCTCTGAGGGTCCGCTCCCGCCGGACCTCCGTACCCATTTGCCATCGCTACCTGCCCAGGTCCCCGGAGGGGTCCATTCTGGACCAGCCCGCCTCACCCTGTTGCCATGGTTACCTGCCTCCGACCTCAAAGGGTCGGCTCCCACCGGCCCCCGCGCTCGCCGTCGCTTCGGTCCTCCAAAGGCCTCCGACGCCAGGACCTGCCTCTTGCGGCTCATAGCTCGGAATTTTAGGGTACCGAGGAAGGCCTCCAGAAACGGAGTCTTCCGGCGCAGACCAGTGACGTCACATGACGCGAGGCACCCACGCCTCTCCTCCGGCGCCCTTGCCAGGAGAGGCGGAACCAGCCCGACTTCCGTCTCCCGCGCCGCCGCCGATTAGCTGCTAACAACGCTGGAGGCTGGCGCTCAATAGCGCCCGAGCCGCCTCCTGCTCCAGTGGAGGCCGTCGGCGTCCGATGGCGTCATCAGAAGCCGAAACCCTTCTTTGGCATCGCCCCCCACCCCCGGCTTCCGACGTGCTGCGGTGACGCCATAGCTTGCGGAGGTGCATGTCAGGGTTGGGGGCTTCGAGGTAACCGGATCTTGGGTCCCTTTCGAGTTCACCGCGATGGAGGGCCGGATGGGGGAGAGGCGCTCGGCTCCGGCCCCGAGAGCTGGGGCTGCCGGGCCCGGAAGCCAGACTCGGCGGTCTCGTCCGCTCTAATGGCAGCGTGTTCCGCTCTAGGACCTTATGGAGTCCAAAGAGGGCAAGAGGAAGGCCGAGGACACGGAGGTGGCCGAGCCCCGGAGCAAGCTCTTGCGCTCCTCAGCCTCGCTGCGCACGGAGCCCGCCCTGTACCGCGGGCCCTTCCCCTTCTACCGGCGCCCCTCGGAGGTGGGCTGCTTCTCCCTGGACGCGCAGCGCCGGTACCACGGCGACGCCCGCGCCCTCCGCTACTACAGCCCTCCTCCGGCCCACGGCCCGGGCCCGGACTTTGACCTCAGGGATGGATATCCTGATCGCTACCAGCCCCGGGATGAGGAGGTCCGGGAGAGCTTGGACCACCTGCTCCGCTGGGTTCTGGAACACCGAGGCCGACTGGAGGGGTAAGCTGGGCACAAGTGGACCTGGAGCGCGGTTCTGCCTTCTAAAGCCTTTGCGGGCCACTTGCACCTATCCTTGGGGGTGTCAGCGGAGCCAAGCCCGAGTCAGACCGTTGGTCCCCAATTCTTCCCTCTCAGGGGTCCAGGCTGGCTAGCAGGGGCCATAGTGACATGGCGAGGACACCTGACAAAACTGCTAACCACCCCCTACGAGCGGCAGGAGGGCTGGCAGCTTGCGGCCTCCCGTTTCCAGGGGACACTCTACCTGAGTGAGGTGGAGACGCCTGCTGCTCGGGCCCAGAGGCTCACTCGGCCACCCCTCCTCCGTGAGCTCATGTACATGGGCTACAAGTTTGAGCAGTACATGTGTGCAGGTGAGAGTCGTCTCCACGGTGTGGACTGGCCCCCTCCCCGGAGAGTGAGAGCCCCCTCCCCTGCTGCTTCTCTGTCTCCGCAGACAAACCCGGAGGCTCCCCAGATCCCTCTGGGGAGGTTAACACCAACGTGGCCTTCTGCTCTGTGCTGCGAGGCCGCCTGGGAAACCATCCTCTGCTCTTCTCCGAGGCCGCCTGGGAAACCATCCTCTGCTCTTCTCCGGGGAGGTAGACTGCACAGACCCCCAGGCTCCATCCGCACAGCCTCCTGCCTGCTATGTGGAGCTCAAGACCTCCAAGGAGATGCACAGCCCCGGCCAGTGGAGGGGCTTCTACAGGTTCAGGACTGCGGGTGGAAAGGAGAGCCTAGATCGGAGACCAGGGTGGAGAGCAGCCTGAAGGTGGAGGAACCCACTGATCCTTTGCCTCTCCTGGCAGACACAAACTCCTGAAATGGTGGGCCCAGTCATTCCTCCCAGGGGTCCCAAATGTTGTCGCTGGCTTCCGTAACCCAGAAGGTTTTGTGTGTTCTCTAAAGACCTTTCCTACCATGGAGATGTTTGAACACGTCAGGGTAAGGCAGGGTGTCACTGCTCCCACCCATCTCCCCCTACCTGCCCTGCACCAAGACCCCTGTCTAGCATCCCTTGCTGCGGTATGCCTTCCCCTCCTCCCACCCCCACAGTCGTCTGCCTGTCCCCTCAGAATGACCGCGATGGCTGGAACCCCTCCGTGTGCATGAACTTCTGTGCTACCTTCCTCAGCTTTGCCCAGAACACAGTTGTCCAGGATGACCCCAGGTAAGGCACTCAGGTGTACACCCCTCTGGACGCAGCTCCCACTCTGTCTCACTCCACACTTCCATCTACCCCAGGCTTGTCCACCTCTTCTCCTGGGAGCCTGGTGGCCCAGTCACCGTGTCTGTGCATCAAGATGCACCCTATACCTTCTTGCCTACGTGGTATGTGGACGCTCTGACCCAGGATCTCCCATCCCCCCCAAAGACACCCTCTCCCAAAGACTGATACTTCAGAAGAACCACCAGACTGGTCTCTGCAGATAATAAAGGTGACTTTCTAAGCAGGTGTCATGCTGCATCTTTGTGGAGTCATCCCTGCCCCACGCCCAGCAGTCTGGGTGGCTGTTTATTGTTACACTTATCCAGAACGCCTCTACTGAGTGTACAGGCTGGCTGCAAAGACGATGTCCCGTCTTAGCAGGGTGGCTGCTGTCTCCATCTTGGCACCCAGTACAGGCTCTCCTACCAGGCGGGCTGCCCCTCGCAGTGAGCGACACATCTCAGCCAGGCGCTGGATGCAGCGGACCACCAAGCCTTCAGGGGTCCCTGAGAGCCCTGCTAACTCAGAGAAGGGCTGTGGGGAAAGCAAAACGAAGACTAAATGTGCCAGGCCTGGGCACCTTCTCCCTGGCCAGCCACCCACCAAACCAAGGTACTTACCATGCCCCGAGCCCACTCGTACACAACCTCTACCAGCCCAAAATTCAGCTCTCCCACAAATTCCTCCACTGTTTGGTTCAGGCCACAGGCCACCTGGACCTCACCAATCCGCTTGGCTACAGCCCGGACACGTTCCACCCCCTGCAGAGGGGGAAGAGGGGGTCAAGGCTGGCCTTCCTGCTCCAGGACCAGGGGGCATTTACCAGGACTGAAGGGGTTCTCTGAGGTGGGAGGTGGGAATGCCACAACTCAGGAAAGGAGGGGCAAGTAGCCCTTACCTGCTTCAGGGTGCTTGGGAGTTGGTCCCCGGGATCCCCCGGGCTCTGGCAAACCAGGCCAGAGAGCAGGGCGGCAATCTCCTCAGGCCGCAGGGTACTCAGTGCATTGTCAAACATGAGCTCAGTGAGGAGCAGCTCATGGCTGCTCATGGCACACGCTACCCGTCCGGCCAGTTTCACAGTGCCTGCCTCATCCACGTACCCCAGGGTGCGAAGCACCTTCGAGAAAAAGGGTTGACAAGCCTGCCTTCTTCCCAAGCCACTGACACCCCACACCCCACCCCGCTCCTCCCACCTCCACACGCTGGTGGTACTCAGGGAGCAGCAGCAGCGACTGATCCGACAGCAGGAAGCGCAGTCGCTCCATCTCCTTCTGAATCTGCATCCGCTCCTGCAGCCTCAGGTACTACGGAAAGGAAAGCCACAGCCAGGGCCCATCAGCCCTCCTCGCCCTCAGCAAGCATGCCCCCCAGGAGAAGCCAGTCTACAGGGCACCAGGGAGGAAAACGCCCCTCTACTTGGGAGCTACCTGGGCAGGAAAACGGGGGCTGTGCACACACTGAGCCCCCCAGATCAGTTCCTCCAGCTTCCGGGCCCGGAGGCCACCTTCTACCACTGACACATCCTTGAGTTGCAAGTCATTGACGGGGTCAAGGGTCGGGGGTCCTGCCGGGTAAGTCTGAGCCAGGCGCAGCAGCTCCTGAACAGCGGTGGTCACGGCTGCAAGGGGAGGGTCCTTCCTGAAGAGGGATCAGGTTTGGGGATCTGGGCCAAGAGGCTTTACTCCAAGAGCCTCCCCCCAGGCTGAGGAAGACCCTCGGCACCCCATTTCATGGTCTTCTTCATGACTGAGGGCCCTCCCTTACATGTACAGCCACTGGTACCATAGGAATCCTCCCTGGAAAAGGCCCCGGCAGCTCTGACCTGAATTTGGGTTGCTGCCTCTTGCTGAAGTCCTCCAAGATCTTCTCCCCATTCACCCGGAGCACCTTGGAGGAGATGGCAGCAATATCTCCTGGCTGGAGTTTGGCCACAGTGTGATCACAGGGCCCTGGAAAAGGGAGGAGGTCAGACACGCTGCTCACTGTGGGGAAGTAAGGCATCACCTGGCTCTCTCACCTTCAGGCAGGAACAGCTTGAAGCCCACAAGGTCATCTGGGTGCGGCACATCCGGAGTGGCTGGCTCCTTGTCCTGTTGGCTCTCAGACACAACAGGCTTCTCACATAAGACCAAGGTTGTGAAGACTCTGCTGGTAGAGTTTGAGGAGACCTAGGGGAGGCCAGGACAGGGGTTGGGGAATGCTATCAAACATGGACATCAGATGCCCGCCCCGGATGGGGATCAGGAGCCTCTACATGCAGCCTAGCACTGTAGAGGGGCAGCCAAGCCAAGCAACCAGACCAGCTTCTTCAGGGCCAGACATGACGTGGTCGTGATAATAAATGATTCACAACCTGTCATAACCTGCCCTTGGTCAAAGGGGTGCTAGGGCCTGACTCGTTCCCTCCCACTCTGGGGTCAAGCCCCCTGGCCCTCACCTGCAAGATCACACCCAGTGCATTGTGATGCTGCTGGTTCTTCACAACCACCACCCTCCCTGCTGAGAGAGATTTCAGTCCATTCACAGACTCCATGATGCATTGCTAGAGTGCAGGGTGGGCACAGGATGACATGAGAGGAAATGTGATCAAGACGCTGGGACACTAAGCTCAGGAGCACCAGCATGACCCACTGTCCCTTCCCACCATCTCCCCATCACACTCCCAAAACACACATACCTGGATCATGTTCTGGATCTCTGTCAGCTCCTCCCCCCAGCTGTAATACTCAGGCAGGTCAGCCAATTGGCCAGTTGTGTCAGGCTCCTCCAGAGCACCCAGCTTTTTGGTGAGTTCAGCCAGAGCCTGCTCGTGGGCCTGAACAGAAGAGGCAAGGGTTGTAACAAGCCTCCAGGCCCAGCCCACCACACTCCCACCCCGAATCCACTGGCCTCTACATGCCCCCACCTCTTCCTGGCCTGGCTCTCTGACCTGTCTGGTACACTGACCATCCCAGCCCCCTCACCTTGCTGTCCTTTCGGGATGGAAACTCCGAGAAACTCCTCTTCATCATGTCCTCCACTCTGAGGGCATCCACCCGCAGCAGATTGAGGATCATTGTGTATGTGAGGCGGAACTGGGACTGCAGCTGGGATGGCTTCCCCTAGAGCCAGGCAGGAAGTCAGTGAGACAGGTGACCACCAGTCTGCTCAGATCTGGACCCAGCTCTGCAGCCTTAAGGCTGAGACCTACCCCTACTCACCTCTAATGCAAGGAGCAAAACCAAAGTCAGACTCAAAGGCCCTATCTAGCACCATACCCACAGTGGTGATAAAGCAGAGATGGGACCCAGGCCTCTCCTTGGATTTGCTGACTTACAACTGGACTTGTCCCAGACAAAGTGAGAATGTCAGAAGAGAAGTGAGGGGACACGGTTGGCTAGGGAACTCAGCGTGGCTGTGCCCACCAGGACCACGCACCTTCACTCACCATCATCATTCGGTGCAGATCCGCCATCTCAGGCACACGGCCCTTGCAGAGCAGGATGACGGTGCCTGTGGGGTCCAGACCCCTCCGGCCTGCTCGGCCTGCCATCTGCACATACTCCCCGGGGAGCAGGTCCCGGAAGGTGGAGCCATCGTGTTTACGCATGGAGTCAAACACCACTGTCCTTGCTGGCATGTTTACACCCATGGCGAAGGTCTCCGTGGCAAACAAGACCTGAGATGGAAGGGGACAGAGGATCAGCAGAAGCACTTTGTCCACACCAGGCCTGGCCCAGGTGATTGCCTGCAGGATCTCACGAACTCTCCAGAAAATCTATGGGGCAGGTGGCATTGTTTCCCTATCTATTTCTTTCCCTCTGCCCCACAGCCCACTTCCAGTCTCTTTGTGTGAATGTTACTTCCAAATACAGTTTGTTTTGTCGTATATAATCCACAGCTCACATAAAGGCAGCTATAGTCTGTTTTCTTCTTTTCTCCACATCACCTGTCCACATCCATCCATGTTCCCGTGGTTTGTCAAACACTGCTTCTGACTAAAGCAAACAGCTCTGTAGGGAGGGACCCCCACATTTACCTAGTCCCAGTGAAGGGCACCCTGGAACTAACAACATCCTGCCATGATACACAAGACCCTAGAGAGCAAAGAAAATGCACACACGTTCCCTCACAGACAAAGGTGGGGTTTCTGTGTGGTGGATACCTAGGAATGAATGCTAGGGTGGAAAAGTGCACTACAGGTAACTGTTCCAACAGTGCCAGGGTGGAAAAAATAAACTGGCTCCATCTAGCTAGGGTCCTAGGAGCCTGTCGTCCCCTATGTCTCTGGTCACACTTGTGGTCAGCCAGCTTCCTAAATGTGGCCAGTTCAACAGCCACACCGTTATCTTGAAAGCATTTCAATGCATTTCTCTAGTTACTAGTGACTCGTTTATGCTGCTACCTTGGGGGTTCCTCTTCTGAGGACTACCTGGGGTGTGGTGTACACCCCTAAAGCAGTGGGGTTAAGTGGCTTGCCCTAGGTCATGCAGAGCAGACCTGGTAAAGCTGATATTCAAATGCGGGCAGCCTACATTCAGTGTTCTTAACTGTCCTGCCTACGTCTTTGCCCCTCTGCTCTCTGGCTACTCCTAAGGGCCCTGAAAGGGCCCCTCGCCCACCATGTTCACCTTGACCAGTCCTCGGCTGAACAGCATCTCCACAATCTCCTTGAGGATGGGCAGGATACCACTGTGATGCACACCCAGGCCCCGGCGCAGGAGCTCTGACATGTGAAGGACCTGTAGGGGTGAGGGGCGGCCCTCAGCTGGGGACAAGTCTCGGATCACCAAATCCCCACCCATATCAACAGAGACAGACCTGGGGAAGCTGGCGATCAGAGCCTCGGAGTCGAGCGAGGCAGCGCTGCAGAAACAGGTGGATCTCGCTCTTCTCTGAGCTTGTGGTGAGGTCAAGTGAGGTGAGGCCCGAAGCCTGCTCATCACAGCGGCCTCGGGAGAAAGTAAACACTACCACGGGCAGCTGGGCCCGGGTGCGGAGGGAAGCCAGCAAGGACAGGTACACTCCACGGTCCTGAGGGAGGAGGGACGGGAGAGGTTGAGTCCTTGAACCAGGGGCAGTTGTGTGGCGGTGGCGGAGCTATGACAAAGCAGACTTCAAGCCCCAAGGGACCAGGGATGAAAGGGGGCTGAGAAGCAGACTTCGACAGACAGGGAAGGTCGCAGCCCGCACCTGTGCAGGTCCCCCCTGGTGTGTGGGCTGCTTGGCCCCGAACGTCTGGGCGTGCTTGCTCATCCTCTCTTTCTTGGCCTCCAAAGCGGCATAGTACCTGGGCACAGGGAAGGGCGGTGTCAGGCCCGGCCAAGGCCCAGCCCCAACCCCGGGCCCTGGGCTTACCCCTTGGTGTGGAAGGCCCCTCGGGAGTCCAGCAGCAGGAAAATCTCCCCCTGAGTCTTGGGGCTGTTCCCGGTGAAGAGATAGTGCTCCAGGGGGACAGGTCGAGCGACCGTGCTGATCACGTAGATCTGCCGACGCTTCAGCCGCCTGGAGGGAGGAGGTGGTGGCAGATCCGGGAAGAGGCGGGAAGGAGTCCCGTCTCCCAGTCTCTCCCGAGGTTTCATCCCTGGTCGCCTGGGAGCGTGGACTGGAGGTCCATGATGTCATCTCCAATCCCATTCCCCCTGGTTCAATGACTCAGTCTCTCCCCGTCCCCTCTCCTTCAGGACGTTGGCATGTACCTGTCGTTGTCCAGATGGAAGTCCCCCACTATCCCATCTCAGCCAAAATGTTCTGGACCCCGGCAGCGTACTGTAGCCACCCAGGCAGGCTGGTTCGCAACTTTCTCCTGGCTGTAGTGGCCTCAGCTCCCCAACCCCAGCCAAGGAGCAGCACAGCCCCTCACTCAGCACCCAGCCCACACATCATCCTCACCCGATCCAGTCGGCAAACTCCAGGGCGTTGGGGACAGTGGCGCTCAGAAGGATGATGGAGACGTGGTCAGGGAGCATGATCAGCACCTCCTCCCACACGACCCCACGCTAGGCACACGTGGGGGGACACGACAGGTCAGATGGAGCAGAGGGGCTGCTCTGCCGCCCCCGGGGTCCCAGGCAGGGCCAAAGAAGGCAGTGAGGTCCTCAGGCTTGTGTGGGACAGGTCTACTCAACAAGGCCCATGGGAGACCCCATGTCCCTGTACCTCAGCATCGTTGATATAGTGAACCTCATCAAAGATGACCCACTCCAAGTCCCGGATAACATCGGAGCCACTGTACAGCATGGAGCTGGGGAGGAGAAGGGGGGCTGACTCCCAGCGGCTGTCTCCACCCTGCCTGTACAAGGATGCTCCCTGTCCACCCACCTGGGAGGGCCCCCTCTCACCGAAGGATCTCTGTGGTCATGATGAGGCAGGAGGCCTCTGGGTGCAGCTGCACATCCCCGGTGAGCAGCCCCACATCCCCAAATGTATTTCGGAAGTCCCGGAACTTCTGGTTGCTCAGGGCTTTGATAGGCGAAGTGTAGATGGTGCTGGGAGCAAGGTATGAAGTCAGCCAGTCTCAATACATGTTCAGTTTGACCCTCCCGGGCTCACGCCCTTTCCTTCACACAAAGAACCTTCTCATCCTCCTTCATGATATGCCCCCTTCCTCAACTAGACCAGGTCATGTCTGCCTTTCCGTCCCTCTTCTCTGGCAGAGGGAGGCAGAGAGGTGGGAGGAGAGATGAGGTCCAGGAAAGAAGCAGGAGGAAACGGGGCTGGCTGGTGACAGGGAGGGCATTTGTACCGCGTCATGTGTTTCTGGGCCAGGGCGATGGCGTATTCGGCCACGACTGTCTTCCCGGCAGATGTGTGAGCGGCAACGAAGACAGAGTCGTGCTGCTCCAAGTGCAAGATGGCCTGCTTCTGAAACACATCCGGCTCAAACGTCCACTGTGTAAGAGAAAGCAGGCAGGTTGCAGGGACAGGCCCTTTCCACTTCCTGCTCGTGGCACACAGGGAGGAGAGCAGGCCAGAGTGGGGCAGGGCTGGGACCGAGGACCAGGACAAGCCTGGAAGGCGTCTAGCCTCCGATGGAGAGAAGGCTGGGCTGAGAGGCAGGGCCAGGATCAGGGCCACCAAGTGGTAGAGTGTGTGAGGCCTGGGCTACAGTACCTGGAAGGCTGGCTGAGGGATGAGGCGGTAGAAATCCCCCACAGGGGAGGTAACGTCCACGGGGACAGCCCACTGCTCCTGAGGCGCAGGTCTGGGAGGTTCCAGGGGGGATGTGACTGTGGATGCTTCCTGGAAAAGTCAGGGCAGGGGTGATAAAGGTATAGCCAAAGAGCTCAACTACCATTACCCCTGCCCCCCAGATGTCCCATTCCACCCCTCAAACCCAACCTGGCCACACCAGCCCAGGCACAGCTCCTTCTTGCTGGCATCACCCAGAACCACCAACCTTCAATACTAGGTCCTCCAAGCTGCTTGCCCGAGCCAAGGGAACATTGCAGGGAGAGGCTGACACTGTGTCCCCTCCAGGACCTCCTGGCCATCCTGCTGCCTCGCTCTCGTCCTCATCTCCCCCACCCAGATCTAAGGGTTCCAGCAGACGGCTGAGGCTGAGCAACCCAGGTGCGGGAGCTGGGCCATCTGAGGAGCAAGAGCTACCTTGTTACATCTGTCTGTCTGCAGAAGCAGGGCATCCCCTCAGACCCTTGTCAGACTCACCCTTGGGGGCAAAGTCCACGCCTTTCTTGAAGCCAGGAGGAATGGTGAGAAGATCTGGACGGTGGAGACAGAGACAACATCAGGGCCACTGCATGGCTGTTATGCAAGCTGCACATCATACAACAGACATTCACAGCAGACTCTGCATAGCTGCTCTGGGTGTTTTCTAACAGATGCCAGAACACCTTCTCCCTTGTGAATGGGAAGGACCCCTTTCCCCAGTTTAGGAAAGCACAGGAGGGCTTGCAGCAGCCCAGTGATAGGCCGACTGGACCCTCCTCCTCAGATGCAGAGCCCACTTCACCTTTCTCAAAGTCTATCTCCTCCTCGGCTTCCTCACGAGTGCTCAGATCTGTTATGGTGGGCTCATCCATTCCAGCTGGGGATGGGGTGAGCAGATGGGGATTCATGAGAATGTAAGCGAGGGGAGGAGTCCTTCCCTGTAGACTGACGCACCCTCTCCTACCACCACTACACAGAACTTACCTGGCCAGAAAGGGTATTGTGTTGGATTCCCCCATAGCGACTGTGAGGCTGGCCCTGGAGGCCGGCGAAGGGACAAGGAGGTTGTGGCTGACAGGTTTGTGTTCTCCAGCAGGACCTGAGACCAGAGGTCAGAGCCCCTGTGAGGAGAAGCCTGCCTCTGACTCCTTCTCCCAACTCCCCTTCTTGTGGCCCAACTCTCACTTCCTTGTAGCCCAGGATCTGGCCTGTGGTTGGGTGTCTTTGGGCCTGAAGGTCGGATGGGACTGGAGCCCCGAGGGCAGTCAGGAGAGACCAGGGATCTGCCTTCCGCTGCCATTTTCTGGAGAGAAATAAGGGCATTTTGAAATCTTCTTTCTCCTCATCTCCAGCTTCATTCGCTGGCCTGTCTGCCTGGTCTGGGGCCCTGCAGATGCCTCACCGAGCTGAGTGCTCCACTCCATGCAAAGGAAGCCAGGCTGGAGATGAGAGAAACAACTGCTGTACTTCCTGCTGCAGATCCGGGGCACAGGGAGGGAGGCCATGGGGAAGCTGGGAAAATGCGAGATGAGAGGCCTTAAGTTAGAAGAGGATAAACAGACAGAAAAGGTGATGGGATTTGTGTTTATGTCCAATGACAGATGTCCCCAACAGACAGAAGAGCAATGCTCCAAAGGTCATGCAAACACCACTTCAAGCCGATCTAGTAGCTGAGGCATCAGTTAATGCAGATTTTGGGTTTCAAACTCACAAGAAGCCAGAAGCAGGAATCTGCTTTTTGTTTTGATACAGGGACTCATGTAACCCAGGCTTGCCTCCAGCTTGATATGTAGGGGAGAATAACCTTGAACATATGATCCTCCCACCACTACCTCTGGAATTACAGACAGGCACTACCACCCTTGGTTTTATGCAGTGCTGAGGATCAAACCCAAGACTTTTTGTATGCTAGACAAACAATCTAGCAACTGAGCTACATCTCCAACCTGGGATTTGCATGTTTTTACTTTTTCTTTTTTTGTCTTTTTGAAGCAGGGTTTCCCTGTAGCCCCAGCTGTCCTGGAACTCACTATGTAGACCAGACTGGCCTTGAACTCACAGAGATCCGCCTGCCTCTGCCTCCCAAGTGCTGGGACTACAGGCGTGCACCACCATGCCCAGTGTTTTTACATTTTTATTTATTTACTTATTATGTATTATGAGTGTATTGCCTACTTGTAAGTGCACCTGTGTCATGCCATGACTGGGGAGGTCAGAAGAGGGCACTGTATCCCCTGGAACTGGAATTAAGGACAGTTTGAGCCACCATATGGGTGCTGGGAACCGAATCTGGGTCCTCTACAAGAGCAGCTAGTGCTCTTAACTGCTGAGCCATCTCTCCAGCCCCAATTTGTATGGTTTTTAATATTTTCTTTTTCTTTTTTTGATTTTTTTAAGACAGGGCCTCATGGGGCTGGAGAGAAGGCTCAGCAGTTAAGAACACTGATTGTTCTTGCAGAAGACCCAGGTTCATTTCCCAGCACCCACATGGCAGCTAACAACTGTCTGTAACTCCAGTTCCAGGGGATCCGACAGCCTCTTCTGTCCTCCAAGGGCATTGAACAACACGGGTGCACTTACCTACATGCAGGCAATACATGCACACACATAAAATCAAAATGTAAATAAAATATTTAAAAAATCACCTCCCTAGTTAAAAGACAGACTTGCTGATTTTAAAAAGGGGTCTCAGGCCTAAGGATAAAAGCCAGGAGCTTAAGAGCTGGCATCTCAGCCAAGAACTGGGATGCTTAGAGATAGAAGGGAGCACCCAGGAGGAAGGTCCAGAAGGGAGGCTGGGACCTGTCCAGCATCACTCGGGGCCCACAGGTCAGCGTCCAGATACGGGAGGGCACGGGTCAGTGTCCCGACAAGCAAGGTCAAGCTAGATTCTAGTAGGATGGAGGGCAGGGAGGACTTAATTTGACCCGCGCTGGTCAGGGTGCCAGTTAAGTCACTCACGGTGCTCTCTGGAGCCCCAGGCACGCTCAGCAGCTCCCAGCGCCCCGTACATCCCACTTCCAGGGCTCGAAGGGGAAGGTCCAGGGGGTCAGCAGGGGGCAACACTAGGAGGGAAAGGCCAGAGGTCAAGGGTCAGAAGCCGTTCCCGTCCGCTTCTCCCTCCCACCTCCCTCCCCCTCACCGAGTCGCTCGGTCTCCAACATGCTGGAGCCACGGCAGCTGCGGGGCAGCCCGGAAACGCCAGCCAGTAACCTTGGAGTCGGCCCCGCCCCGAGACGGGCGGAAGTGGAGCCAACTTCCGGCACGCCTCCCTTCCTTCCGCTGGGAGAAGAAGCCGGACCCCGAGCCGGGCAAGGCCGGGCGGAAGTCGCTGCGCCTCGCCGCCTTGGTTACCGCGTGTCCTGCCCCTTCGACGTCATCGCCGCGAGCCCGCTCGCTGCAGCTCGCGCGGCGGTGCCGAAGACCTGGGGCCCCGGGCGCCGCCCCTCCCCCAGGTAGGGACTTCTCCCCGTCCCTCGTCCCGTCCCCACTCCGCCCCAAGACCCCGAGGTGATGGGGGCCGCGGGCCGTCGCCCGGCTTGCAGGCAGTGCCCGCCCACCCCGGCATAGGCACCGCGGACTGGACCAGGAGGGGATGCTGGCTGACGGCGGGAGCGGATGCTGGCTGCTGGCCGGAGCAGGAGGCTGGACGGCGCTCTGGCGAGGGACGGGGGCGGGGAGACGGCTGGAGAGGGGAGGCCGGGGCGGGGTCTGGAAGTCGCGCAGGTACCGCCTGGAGTGTACAGGGTGGGTATGATGACTTGGGTTCTGCCCCTGACTCAGGAACCACCATGTTGGTGATACCCCCCGGACTGAGCGAAGAGGAAGAGGCTCTACAGAAGAAATTCAACAAACTCAAGAAAAAGGTAAGGTTAGGGGTTGAGAGGGGACATGTGCCCAACCTTGAACAGACTCTTGACAACCCCTGGGGTGGGTGTGAGGAGCTCGGGGCCCCTCCCCGCTCATAGCTGGCTTGTGCACACGTACTGTGTGTCTTCACGTCGCCCTCCAGTCAGCATGGACTTTCTGTGTGGCTCACCATGGGATTATCAGCCTTTGCCGCAGCTTGGTAAGAGTTCCAGATGGCCACGTTTAGATTAGCCAGTTCTATCCAGTACCTGACTGAAGACGGTCAGATTGAAGCTATCTTCCTGTCTGATTTAGGCCCTGTTGGCTTTCAGGTAGGACCAACTACGGTCTTAAATTCTTACCTCAAACTTTTTTCTTTCTCTTCAGATAGGGCCTCACACTTTAGCCAGGCTGCCCTGAAACTCTCAGTTCTGGGTAGCCTGGAACTCACAACAGCTGTTCTCAGCCTCCCAAGTACTCCACCATCATGCCTAGCTCATCACTGACTGACGTCTGCACTATCTGTGTGACCAAACATTTGTCAGGGTCTGTCCATCTTCGTCCCCTCCCCCTTCTCTCACTGTTGTCTCACGGTGCCGCCCAGGCTGGTCATGCACTTCTGGGTTCCTGCATCTTCTGCCTCAGCTTTTCTGAGTAGCTGGGACTCCATGGACACAACACCATACTCAGCGTGCTGAGTGCGTGTTTTTTTCTAAGTACTTTCTCCCATTTACTTACTCATCCCTAGGATTCCACCAGAACAGGGCTTTGCCGACACTCGCCTAGCCTATCAGAATGTTCTCTCTCAAGTTTCTTTTGAAACGGTCTCTCTGTGGCTGGCCTGGGACTCTGTAGACCAGGCTTGGCCTCCATTTCACAAAGATCCACCTGCCCTTGCCTCCCAAATGCTGGGATTAAAGACATGCTGCCCCATGCCTGGCTAGACAGACTTCTTGACTTCTATTAAAATGATGCACTGAAGACGTTTAACCCTATTCCCTCCTCAAATCCCTTTAAAGGCTTCACATCCTGTATAGAACCAAGCCCTAAAATCTTACACAACCTCAGTGTGGAATCAAGAGTTGTTTACTCTCGAAGCATACATTCTGAAACCTTGCGTCTTTACTATCCTGCTTTCTTTGTCTAAAACATCCTCTCTGTACTGGGTAGCGTCTGTGCAGGTCCTGGTTTCATAACTTCAAGCATCTGAAAAATGTTGCTTGTCTCCGGCTGTGATGGATCTGCACCTCTATTTTCATTCTATTGGTCTAGTCACTATTTTCAGGACTGTAAGTTTCTTGAGGCTAGGAAGTAGGCATTTCATTTCCAAACAGCCTCATTAAACATACAGAGAATGGGTAGATGATGTCCCCAAAGCACATGGTTTTCAGCTTCAAAATGTGAGCCTGGGAAGCCTTTGGTCACAGTGGTTTGGTTAGGTTAAGTATTGCTGACTGGATGGTGATGGGGCGGGGGCCGTGCAGCACTCTGGGGCACCATGGGACTGGGGGGCAGCTCACCACTTGGGGAGCACTGCTTCTGCTAGCTGTTCCTGGAGTTATGCAGCAGGAGCTGGTCCTCTCTGACATGGCTTTTACCCTCATTCCCAGAAAAAGGCATTGCTAGCTCTGAAGAAGCAAAGCAGCAGCACAGCGAGCCAGGGTGGCGTCAAACGCTGTGAGTGCCAGGAGCTGGGAAGAGTGTGGAGGGGAGCGACCCGGGGCTGCCCTCTGCCGCAGCCAGCATAATGCCTCTCTCTCCCTCAAACCCCAGCCCTGTCAGAGCAGCCTGTAGTGGACACCGCCACAGCAACAGAGCAGGCCAAGCAGCTGGTGAAGTCAGGAGCCATCAGTGCCATCAAGGCCGAGACTAAGAACTCGGGCTTCAAACGCTCTCGAACCCTAGAGGGAAAGCTAAAGGTGAGTGCAGCCAGATTGTTCTGGTACCCTGGACATCACAAGCACTCCTCCAAGCTGGAAGGGAGCTGGGCTTAGGGGAGTGTACCATTCTTGAGATGGGGAGGGGGGGTTCTACCATGAGTCTTTTTTTTCCTCTGGAGATACAATCTGGTCTCACTGTCAGTCTAACAGCCAGTCTCTGGCTCATGAACTCAAGTGACCACTGCTCAGCCTTACTCCCACACCCCACCAGAGTTCCAAGGTTTCCTTTTTGCAAAATGGAAAGTCTCCTACTTTACACACTCTGGGTTTCTGAATTGCAGAGGCTTGGGTAAACCAAGCCCCGTACTTTAAAAGATAGCACATAATCTAATAAGAAACGTACGAAGATTAAAAGAAGCAAGTAGATGAAAAGCCAAGAAGAGAGAGGGAAGGAAGGGCAGCCATCCATCTCCCGACTGGACAGCCTGGTCCACACTGACATGGGTTTCTGCCCCTCCCCAGGACCCTGAGAAGGGACCTGTCCCCACTTTCCAGCCGTTCCAGAGGAGCATATCTGCTGACGATGACCTCCAGGAGGTAATGGCTCCCAAGCTCTGTCCCTGTGCGGTCAGGGATGGAGGACGACTGAAGATCCACATGTTCTAGACCCCATGCCAGCATCCAGTAATCATTTTAATTATTCTTTGTCTTTTTTCCAGTCATCCAGACGTCCCCAGAGGAAATCTCTGTATGAAAGGTTAGAGAGACCATTATTTGGTGGAGGGTTGGTAACCAGAGTCAAGTCGGGAGGCTCAGGACTGGAGTAGGAGTGTGGACTTTGGCAGGTCTGGGGGAGGGCGTTCAAGGCCCCTTTGGCCCTTACAGTCTGCCTCTCCCCAGCTTTGTGTCTTCCAGTGATCGGCTCCGGGAACTAGGGCCAGATGGAGAAGAAGCAGAGGGCCCTGGGGCTGGTGATGGCCCACCTCGAGGCTTTGACTGGGGCTATGAAGAACATGGTGGTGCCCGCTCCTCTGCCTCCCCTCCCCGAAGCCGCAGCAGGGACCGAAGTCACGAGAGGAGTCGAGACCGAGATCGCGACCGGGACAGAGACCGAGACAGAGATCGGGAGCGGGACCGGGAGCGGGACCGGGAGCGGGACCGAGACCGAGAAGGTCCCTTCCGCAGTGAGTCATCTTGGCTAGGATCAGGTGGAGCCAACTAAGGTGGAAGGTGAGGTAGACTAGAGGTGACTGTGATTCCTGACCCACAGGGTCAGACTCATTCCCTGAACGCCGGGCTCCTCGGAAAGGGAACACTCTGTATGTGTATGGTGAGGACATGACGTCCGCTCTCCTCCGAGGGGCCTTCTCTCCTTTTGGAAACATCATTGACCTCTCCATGGACCCACCCAGAAAGTAAGGATGAGCATCCTTGGGGAGGAAGCTGCCTGCTGTCTGGCAGCCTCTGGGCACAGGGGTTGGTTGAGTCCAGTGACATCCACAGAACTCTGCTGACCCTACTTTCTCTCATCCCAGCTGTGCCTTTGTCACCTATGAAAAGATGGAGTCAGCAGATCAAGCCGTTGCTGAGGTTGGGACTTCTCAGACCCGTTCTTCCTGTCCTTTCTGTCAGCCTCGTGTTTTCTCCTTATAATACTTGGTTCAAGAGGAAACTGGTTCCTCCTGATGGGAAACTTAGATCCTAGCTCCCTAGTCAGTGTCCTCCAAGGAGAGCAGCCCCTGAATGGCCCTCCTGGCCCCTGTGTAATGCCCCATCTGCTGTCCTCTCCCCTCTCCCACTGCAGCTCAATGGGACCCAGGTGGAATCCGTACAGCTCAAAGTCAACATAGCCCGCAAACAGCCCATGCTGGATGCTGCCACTGGCAAATCTGTCTGGGGCTCCCTCGGTAAGAATGGGGCTCTCCCCTCGACCCTCGCCTGTGGCACACCCCTCTTTTGTCCCGCTCCATGTCTCTGGGTTCCCTAGAAGTGCTGAAATTCAGAAAGTGTGTGGACAGGTAGAGAATTCCCAGGCCATGTGTCAGGTAAGGGGAGGAGCATTAGAAATATCCCCGCAGTGACCAGCAGGGAGGACAGTGCAGCCCGACCGTGGTCTCTGAGCTGGAGCACTGTCCCAACTAGAAAGGAGGGATCCAGAACTCAGCTGGGAGGCAAGGAATGGAGCGTAGATTTGCATCCTGTGCATTTCAGAGGGCCACAGAACAAAAGCCCTCAGACACGGGTTGGAGGAAAAGTGAGCCAGGACTAGCGTAGGATATAGTTAGGGTGTGTGGGAAGCTGGGCTGTGCTTATGACCCCCACACATGCCCAGCCATCCTGACTCAGGCTGAAGTGGAGGCAGCAGCAGAGGAGACAGGAAGGGTCCACGCAGAGAGCAGCCCAGGCCCTGGGCCACAGCAGCCTAAGGACCCGGCCCCACGGGGGTAGAGTGGAGTCCTTGGATAGGGTGGAGAGCCAGCCATGCCCAGTGGGGAGAGGAGGGTCGGCTGCAGGGAGCCTGCTGAGCTCAGCCAGGCCTCCTGCACGAGAGGTTGCCCAGCCAGCAGGGTTTCCAGTGTGAGCATCCCAATCTTCCTGAAAATGGATTTTTCTGGAAAAGGAGTGAGCAAGGGTTCAGAGCAAAAGGCTCTGCCGACACGAGGAAGGAACCGGAATTGACCAGTACACCAACAAGGGCTGCTGAGGTTCTTCTTCTTTTAATTCTCATGTATCAACCAAAAGTAGTGGTTAACATCATTCTGCCTCACAGTGACTGCCTTAGAGCAGTACACTCAGGACAATAGGAGCACCAAGTGGGCTCAGCACATCCGCCATCCTAGCCACCAGAGGGCAGCGTGAACACGGCTTCCAGAGCCAAAGCCCAGGGTGAGGGAGCAGGCTCTGGGCCTCAGGTCTAACCCACAGCCTCCTTCAGACCTTAACTGTCACTCTCCTCCCTTCCTAGCCGTCCAGAACAGCCCTAAGGGCTGCCACCGGGACAAGAGGACCCAGATTGTGTACAGTGACGATCTGTAGGAAACCTTGTGGATGGCTTCTAGGAAACGAAGCTGGAGTCCTTGTGCCTCACATGCCCCGGTGCTGGTCTCAGTGAAACACTGGGGTGGAAGCTCACGCACCTCCCTTCAGCCTCTAGTTTTTCAGCACTTGGGATGGGGTTAAGCCTTCCAGAGTGGCTGTCAGAGATTCATGTTACTTGTAACAACATGCCCAATGCACATCCCCACTCCTTTACCCCAAAAAGATGTGGAACACACTCATTATCGCAGCTCTTTAATGTCCTCGCCCTTCCACAGGAAGCCCTGAGAGGAAACCCAGATCCTCATCCTGGAGTTTGTCCCTGAGCCAAGGCAGCACCTTAAAGAGACTGACGTGGAAGTCCCTAGCATGGGCGGGCACCTGCTGCTGTCGCCTTTGGTCTTTGCAGACATCCACCACTCCCCAGCTGATCACGCCAACCTGGGGGGGGGGGGATGCGTGGGTCACTTGATACTTCATAAAGCCAGAAAGCATCTGAGCAGACCTGGAGGAAGTAGCTAGGAGCTGGGCTCTGCCCTGCTTCCTTGGCCCTGAACCAGCCAGTTCAGCACAGCCGCACAATGAGGCAGCCATGTGGCTGAGCTTCCTTTTGTGGAGGGCCACGTAGGCCCTCGCATCTCCCCACAGACTAGGAAGGTGAACACTCACTTGAATGAAACGACTCTTCTTGCGAACAATGAGAGGACCGCCTGAGTCACCTACGGAAGAGGGAAGGGTTAGGGAAAAGCCTGATGGGTCTCGGGCTTGTCACACAGCCAGCCAGCCTGCTCACCTCTGCAAGTGTTGGGGTCGGCGTAGGGATCCACCCCTCCAGTGCAGAGGAACCTGGGGGTGACCACCTCAGAGACATCCTTGACTTGGTCATAGCCGGGGGCCTGCAGAGCATCTCTCTCACAGCTGCCTTTCTGTGGGGAAGGAAGGCATGATGAACAGCACTGGCTTAGGCAGCAGTGGGGCCTCGGCCTCCCTAGAACCCCCTTCCTCACCTTGTCCCCGTTCTTGATGTAGACCTCCTTCCGAGTCAGCTTCTTCCCTTCCTCAGACACAAACAGTGCCTTGACGTCCTTCACAGGCAGCAGCTCCTCCTCTGGACAGTGGATAGACATCAGGGCAGCCAGCCAACCCCTCCCACTGCTCCTCGCCCAGCACCTCTGGGATCCTTGCTGGGCTCAGTCTTGAGCAGCAGCATCTGCAGATCCTCTTGTGGCCCTTTCTTCTCCAAGCCTCGTCCCGGCTTACCCCAGACTTACCGTGCTGCTGGCAGGTGGCGGACTGAGGGAGCCGTAGGGCTCGGGTGGTTCCCTCCGTGCAGGGGAGACAGATGGGCCTGTTCAGGAGGTGGGAACAACAGTTGGGGGCAGCAGAGGGCCTGCTCTGTGCCCCAGGCCTCTGGCCCACCTTCCCTAGCCCCTCAGGGACCCAGCTACTCACCTGAGGGTCTGATCAAACTTCAGCTTTGCCTTGAGCTTCACCAAAGCCACATCATAGTCATAAAACTCATGAATTCCTTCTGCCTTTTTCCCATTGATGTTGTATTTGGGGTGAAATAGGACCTTTTCTACCTCCAGGTCCCGCCTCTTCCCTCCTGAGGGGAGGAGAAGGTACCACTTTTCTGTGGGCAGCCTTCTGCCTCTGGCCCTGCATCATCCTTTGAGTTGTGCTTTTCCATCCTGGACTGGTCTGGGGTGTCAGGGAGGGGCTGCATTGAGGACAGGTAGGGTGTGGGGTGGTGCTGCCTGAGATGTGCTTGGAGATAAGCTCCATCTGTGCATCCTTACCCACGCTGACCTTGATTGAGTGTTCCTTGTCTTCCACTGTGAAGCAGTGTGCTGCTGTCAGCACGAAGTACTCAGACACCACGGCCCCCATGCAGTTCTCATGTCCTTTCAGAGGGCGCTAGGAACAGAACCAGGAAGAGGGGACAGGTGACCTGCACAAGCCAGCTTGATGAACGTGTGTGTGCGTGTGTGTGTGTGTGTGTGTGTGTGTGTGTGCAGGCTGCTGGGTATCAAACCCAGGGTTTCATAGGGCTAGGGCACTCTAGCCCTAGCCAAAAAAAAAAAAAAGACTGGGTCTTGCTGTGTAGCCCAGGCTGACCTCATTCCACCTCCCAGTGCTGGGGTTGCAGGCCCCATGCGTGCCCAGCTGCCGTGTGTGTGTGTGTGTGTGTGTGTGTGTGTGTGTGTGTGTGTGTGTGTGTTTCATTTTGACACTGTCTTACGAGTTATTTATGTTGGTCTTGAACTCACTGTAGTCCAGACAGGCCTTGAGTCTCAGTCCTTCTGCCTCAGCCTCCCAAATATCTTGGACCACAAGCCTGTGTCTCCACCTGGCTGATGTGGACATTGACCCACCCTCTCCCACAAGCCCCCACTGCTAGAATGCTGTGCTTACAGTGACTGAGATCTTGGCCTGCCACGGTTGCTTGTGGTAATCGGTGCCTTTCCTGTGTTCCCAGACCATGCCACACAGACTCAGAGATTTGGTTTCATCTGGCAGAGAAAGAATACTGAAGGCCTACATGGTGGCAGCCATCTTTGGCTGGATCCCTGCATGTCTACAGGGAGCGGAGACCCACGAGGAGGATGAAGGCCAGGGGCTTTTGTTCCCTTATGTTAGACAAGGAACCTTTGTGGTGTAGTTAAAAACTTGAAACTTGGATGTCAGAGACCTGGCTGTCTTTAGACCCAACCCTGTTGCTACCCTGGGGGCCCCTGAGCTTGTCTTCATTGTAAAATGAAGCCTCTGAAATTGCTCAGAGCTCTGTAAGATCAGGACGTGGAGAACACCAGGAAATGAACACAGATGCTGGCGGAAAGGATGGAAAAGGGCCTTCCAGACCTCAACGGTGGGGCCAGTGAGCAGCTTCGGGGGACCCTGGGAGAACCCAGTCTTCCAACAGCTGCCTCATGCCCTGTGTCTTCCTACCAATCATTTGGAAGAAAACATCCTCCAGGTTCTCCATGTCCTTGACCTTGAACACATGCTGTTCGTTCGCCTTCTTGGAAGCCAAAGCATTGATGTTCACTTGGTCCACGAGAGGTCCGACCCCAAACACATACACATCTGAGTGAGAAGAGGAAAGGGTGAGGGTGCAGGCCCCAAAGGATGAGGGTTCTGGGTCCCAGGCAGGTCACACACCCAAATAATCTTCCCGTGGGTTTTTGCGATCCCTGCCAATGTCCAGCAAGTCCCGGATCTCCTCCATGACAGTTACGGGGTCACCGCCCATGTTGTACAAGCCTACAGAAAACATGGGGAAGCATGAGAGTGGGAAGTGGGTCAAAGAAGGTACGTTGGCCAGAGGCAGTGACACAGCTGAGGGGCAGGTCACAGAGGGACTTGGGAGGAAGGGACACGGAAAGCTCAGGGGGCCTGTAGCATTCAGGACCCAAATCAGCTTGCTGTTACGTATGGGCCTGAGGGCCAAATGCTAGCACAGGGGGTCGGGATGGCAGGGCAGGTAGAAGGGCCCTTCTGACCGTCAGTCATGAGGATGATGACGTGGCGGGTGCGGTTCCAGCCTTCTGGGGGGTTGTCTCCCACCCAGCCCATCATGTCATGCACTGCCTGCAGAGCCTTCTTGGTGTTGGTCCCTGACTTCAGCTTGTGGTCTGTAGAGAGGGAAGAGGTCATCCCTCATCCTTCTCCCAAGCCACCCTTGAGCATCAGAGGCTGTGACTACTGACAGCCCACGAACTCGCCTTTGACCTTCCCAGCCCTTTTACCAACCCCCATTGTTCAACCACACTTTTGTCCAACTTCTAATAGAGAGTGATTGCTATCTTCTCCCACAAAATTCCTGAGTCTGTGACTGCTCCAACCCCAAGATACACTACCCAGCTTTCCCTTCCCTGACCTCTGACCTTCATAATTGATCTGCTTGAGCTGCTGCGTGACCCAGTCGGCATCACTACTCTTTGCATCCGACACTCTGACCAGGACTTTGGGAACTGTGGCATATGTCACTAGAGCGTATCTTGGCCTTACCCCATAACTCGCCACCTGTGGGCAAGCAAGAGGTCATCACATTAAAAGTAGAAAACTGTCCTTCGGAGAATTCAACACCTCTGCTGGGACAGGAAAGGCCAGAGCACGTGGCTCTGGGTGCAGTTCAGGGAAGAGGCTGGGTGACAGAACAGGACCCAGACCCCGTGGTTTGGAGGGGCAGTGAAGTCTAGTCAAGGTCCTGCCATTCAAAGAGGAGGACAGCCATACCTTCTCAATCAAGTTAGTGAGACACCGCTTGGCCCCTGTGAAGTTGCTGGCCCCAATACTGTCTGATCCATCCAGCACCAGGTAGATGTTCATGGAGCCTGAAGGGTCCAGGACAATCTTCCGCTGCCTCTGTTCCCCTACGTGCCAGCAGAGACTCAGCCTCCAGTATGCATGGTTCCTGACCACTCTGCACCCTCACCCAGGTCCACACGTTCCTTCCCTCCCTGCCCTCAAACCTGGGCTGTGCCCATCCTCAGCATCAGCTCCTTCAATGGTCTCCGTCAGGGAGGATAGGAATGCTTCGGCTACCTCTTCAGGAGTGTCATACATGAAGGAGTCTAGGGAAGGTCAGCAGCAGGTTGAATGTCTAGAGTGTCAAGAACACACTGACAGAAGGTGACAGGACTCCAGGATGGAGAAGCTCAGATGTAAGAAAGCTCACAGAGAGGTCAGGAGGCTGTGAGGAAGGGGCTGGGTTAAGGTAGGAGAAAACCATGGCCTAATGTAGGGACAATAGGACAGCAGGGCAGGAGCTGACCCAGGGAACAGGCAAGGGTCACCTTGGCAGGAAGGCTCTGTCCCACTCCACCAGCCACCTTCCTGGCATTTTCGCTGCTGGGAGCCACGCAGGATAAGCCCCCGGCTGCAGTGGTAAGTGACGGTGTCCTCAAGGCGGTACTGGCTGCCCACCTTCCTTGTGCCAATGGGGATGCCCGGGTTGGGGCAGTACCCCGCTGCAGAGGTGTGAAGGCAAAGTTAGGGTGTCCGTTCATTCCCATGGTGAAGCCCTTGGGCAAGAGTAAGGTCAAGGGCAGGCTGACATCTCACCTCCGTCATCACAGACCGCCGTCTGCCCATCCCACCGGCCATTCACTTGGCAGGTTCGATTTGCAGAGCCACGGAGAGTGTAGCCATGGTAGCAATAAAAAGAAATCTGGTCACTCAGGTTGTAGTAGGGAGATCGCGGCCAGTACGCCCCATTCTCAAAGTCCTGTGGCCGAGGGCAGCGAATAGCTTTGGGAACAACAGATAAAAGTCATCAAGGAATGAACTGTCTCCAAGTCACAGAGACCCTGTCGCTGAGAAACAGTCCTCCCCAGTCCCCTAACCCTGCCGCCCCTCTTCTCCTGGTTTGTGGTTGCTTGTTTTTGTTTTGGTGTTTTTGAGACCGAGTCTCCCTATAGACCAGGCTGGCCTTAAACTCAGAGATCCACCTACCTCTGCCTCCCAAGTGCTGGGATTAAAGGCTTGCACCACCAAGCCAGGCTTTGTTTTATTTTTGAGACAAAGTCTCAAGTAGTCCAGGCTGGCTTCCAACTCCCTACCTAGCTGAGGATGACTTTGAACTTCTGATCCTCCTGTTTCCACCTACCCAGGTGGCTGTTCTATATGGTGCTGGGGATTGAACCCAGGGTTTCCTGCATGCTAAGCAAGCACTCTATCAGCCGAGCCACATCCCCAGCCCTTCTCCTCCTATTTCTGAGTGTTTTCTTCATGGACAGCACTGCCCAACAGGCCTACCATGGTAAATGCTTCCCACATGCACCTCCAGACATACATCCCCTCTTGTTGACCCCACTAATCAGTCTGCTGGTCTCGACAGACCTAACCTCCCCGAGCACTGAGCAGGCCTCCACCTGCTGTGTCCCCACAACCCACTGCCCACACTCCCTGCCTCCAACCTCTGCATTCTGCCTTCTTGACGATCTTTTGATCTTGGGTCTGCAGAGGGCTCCAGGACCCAGTGGATCTGCAGGTGCGGGTCTGCACAGGGTATGGGTAGAAGCCAGAGGGACACAGGTACTCCAGGGCCTGGCCATCTTTCAGAAGTTGGAAGGAGCCACCTTTGATCTCTACTCCCTCCAGAGAGCAGGTGCTCTGGGGCCAGGCTGCAAGTACTGGGGTCGTGCTCACACCTGAGGGACAAGGCTGGTAAAGCCAGGGCCAAGGATGGGTGCTGGGGAAAAGAGGAAGACGAAGTGGCCTTTGCTTACCTCTGGACAAGAGACCCAAGACCAAGACTACCAGGCAGAGTTGGGGACTCAGGTTGTACCCCATGATGATGGACAGCAAGAGAGAGGCTGGGGCCAGGGGCTGAAGACTCTGCAATGCGCTGTGGGTGCCTGCTTGGCTCACGGTCCAGTCTGAAACTCCAGAGCTGGGCTGGGCCACACTCTCCCAGCAACCCCCAGCTTTTATGCAACCTGCTCTGGCACCTGCAGCTTGGCCTGCAGTTCACCACTTTCCGGGAACATTCGAGTAGGAGGGCCCCTGCTGAGCTGCCAACTGAGGAGACAAAAACTATACAAGCTCCACCCTTTGCAGACAAGGTCCAGAACTTTCCCTTCGGCACTCCCACTCAGCCCCCAGACTATCCTCACAAGCCTAGACCCCCCACTTAGGGACCAGAAATAGGCCCCCAGCTTTCCCCCTAACCCCCACCTGGTGGACTGTGTTATGGGGCAAAGTCCAGCCACTGTTTGTGCAATAGGGTCTCTGACCTTCCTGGAATGTTTGTGGCCTCCCCATCCCCCAGGCAGACAGATTTGGAAATCCTTGATTTTTATTAATTTCACAACTTGGAAATCCCGTGCAGAAGTAAAAGGAACACAGAGGGAAGGGATTTGTACATGGGCAGGCCAGGGAGTACAGGACAGCTATTGGCACAGCCGTGGGACCCCCTGGCTGGTTCTTGGCTGTCTCTGGGCCCCTAGTGGATGCTCAGAGGTAGGAGACAGGAGGCACGGGGCAGCAAAGGGGTCAATGCCCGCGATTAAGGGGTAAAAACGTCAGGACTCCATCCAGGTGCTGCCTCAGCCAGGGCTGCAGGCGGAAGAGACTAATGTGGAAGTCCCGTGCCACAACACCAGGGGGAGGCTTTTTTCGGGAGTTTTTGTCAGAGGCACCGTGACAAGGGTCATAAAGGCCCCAACTCACCAGGCCCACCTGGAGGGAAGGAAACAACAGGGTGAGAGATGGTCCCAATCCAAGCCTCCACCTCCCCAGTTCCTTTAAAGGCCTCCCACCTACCCCCAGCAAGGAGCATAGATGCCTTCCTGCTTCTCACCTGGAAAAACCTGTGTCTCCTCTCAAGGAAAACTGCTCCCCCAGATTCTCCTGCAGGCAGAAGGGGAACGAGAGAGAGCGTCATCCAGGGCAGCACACTGCTGGCCCACATGTGTGCTGGCCACAGGGACACTACAGGGAGTCCAGATATTGGGTACTTACCTTGACAGGGATTGTGATCCTCCTTCTTGGCACCACTGCATAGGAACTGGTCTGTCACCACCTCGCTGACGTTTTTCAAGTCAGGGAAGATTTTTTTGTTTTGGGAGACAGCCTGGGCACAGCTTGTCCACTGCAGTCAGGATGGGGTATAAGGGTGGGAGGAAGGAGTGGTCCAGGAGACCAGTGAGGCCTAGCAGGAGGAGAGACTCCAGACACAGCTGAACCTTCTGAGAGCTGCCTGGGGTGGGCGGGGGAGGAGAAGATCCCAGCATCCCTGACTGAGACCTCACCTTGAGCCCTGTCTGGAGGGTAATACTCAGTTTGTCCCCATTCAAGGCCACAAAATGAGCAGCCGTGTCCTGTTGGTTCATAAGCTCTTGCTCTGCCACCAAGAAGAGGCTGTCAGTTTCTTTACCAGAAGTCCCCACATCCATCCCACTCCCTGCTGACACCCCCAAACTTTGGCCTCAACTCATCAAGAGCCCCAAGCCCTAAGACTCACCATGGTCCACACAGGTGCTGCCTGGGGATCTCCGCAGAGCCATGTTGGCTTCCACGGTGCAAGGAAGGCAGATGGGTCTGAGGAGAAGGGCAGGTGTCACGCAGGCTTATCCTCGGTATCCCTTCTGGTGCTCCCCAAAGCACTGTTCCCTGCAAGGTGGCCTCCCATCCCAGACTTGGCACCTGGCGTGAGTGGACATCTTCACTTTCTGGGTCAGCTTCAGTAGAGCGATGTCGTCACCATAGAACTCCATGATCCCCTGGCTCCTTTTTGCGTGGGCATCAAAGCCCTGGGCAATCACTGCCTCCTCCACAAGGAACTCTTTGCCATGCTGGGAGTTGGGATCCCCTAGGACCAATATGGTGGATTAGGCTGGACCAGAGCTCCTAAAGGGACCAGAGGCTGGGGACAAACAGTGGTGGCTTTGACCTCAGGGTCAGGGGCCGGGTGGAGCCCCTGCCTTACCCACAATGACCCTCCACAGTTGGCGGTCTTCCTTCTGTGTGTTGTGGAAGCAGTGAGCAGCCGTCAGAACCCACTGGTCAGAGATGAGGGCACCCCGGCAGGTCTCCTTGCTCTTGGGCTGCAGGAAACAGGTGACAGTGGAGGATTGCTATGTCTGGCTACTTTTATCTCTGGGACCCAAGCCCCGCCCCTCCTTCCTCCTACCTTAAAGGTGACATGCCAAGGTGTCCTCTCCTGGTCAGAGGCATTGACGGACATGTTCCCCACCCCACAGATGGTATTTGTGAGCTTGGAGACATCTGTGGGTGATGATCAGGTGGAGAAGGAGGCAGGTGAGGAGCACTGGTCCAGGTTCACACTCTGGAACTCCAGCTGGCTCCCCACCACGCTCCACACCACAGGGAGGACAACGTTCACTCACCTAGCATGTGTTCAAAGACCTGGCACACAGCCTGCGTGTCCTGCAGGATGAAGGCGTGCCTCTCGCCGTCCTTCTTGGACCCCAGTTCATTCAGTTCTCTCCAGTCCACATCCATCTTGCCCACCCCAATAGCATAGATGTCTGATGGGGAAGAGGGAAATCACCAGAGCCCTGTGGCTGAAAAGCTACCCGAGACACAAGACTGGCATTTGACTTCACTGTGCCCATGGAGACCTGTGTGAGCCGGACTCTACCTCCCTCACCACCAGCCCTCAACCCCTTCCTGCACAACTTCCTATGGTCTCCTCAAACCCCAGGCTCTCTGCACCAGCTGTGCCCCTGCCAGGGGCACTCTCCCACAGATGCCCACAAGTGCTCACATCCTCAGTATTTTTTAGTGTTTTATTATTTTTATTTTATGTGTATGCGTGTATCGCCTGCATGTAGATAAGTGCACTTGTGTCATGCAGTGCCTGTGGAGGGCAGAAGAGGCTGTCGGATTCCCTGGGACTGGAGTTACAGACAGTTGTTAGCTGCCATGTGGGTGCTGGGATTCGAACCCAGGTCTTCTGCAAGAACAAACAGTCTTCTTAACCGCTGAGCCATCTCTCCAGCCCCACATCCTCAGTTTTTTAAGTCACCTTCTCAGCAAGATCCTTCTGACACTGCAATGCCCCGACCCACCCGGCCCTTCCCCATTCAACATCATATCAGGCATGGGCACCACTTGCATGATAAATGGCAATCCTCTTCCTATAGTAGATAGAGAAAGTCTGTTTCTCAAAAGAACATGTTCAAGGGCTGGAGAGATGGCTCAGTGGTTAAGAGCACTGGTTGCTCTTGCAGAGGACCCGGGTTCAGTTCCCAGCACCCACATGGCGGCTGACAGCTGGCCATAACTCCAGTTCCAGGGGATCCGACACCCTCTTCTGGCCTCTGTGGGCACGGCACACATGGATGCACTTACCTACATGCAGGCAAAACATTCATACACATAAAATAAACAAAATAAAATAAAAACTGGAAAAAAAAAAGAGGAGGGGGTGCAACGCAGTGGTAGAGTGTTTCCCTGGTAGGTACAAGGCCCTAACATGGCAATAAATAAATAATAAATAAATAGGAAATTTAGACACAGCCAGTTGCCAGGTAACGACAGTGATGACTCAGGACAGAGGGCGTGGTAAAGGCAGAGACTGAGACACCTGTTGCCTCCAGGAGCTGGAAAGAGCAGGAGATTCTTCCCGCAGCCTCTAGGGGGAGCACAGACCTGGCCAGACCTTGATTTCTGAGTTTAGAACTGGGAGAAATTTGTGGTTTTTTATTTTAAAATATTTTATTTATTTTTATTTTATGTGTACGAGTGTATTGCCTGCATGTATGTGAGTGCACCCGTGTCGCGCAATGCCGCGTGAGAAGAGGGCTTCGGATTCCCCTGGAACGAGTTAAGGACGGTTTGTAGCCACCATGTGGGCGCTGGGAATTGAACCCGGGTCCTCTGCAAGAGCTCTTAACCACTGAGCCATCTCTCCAGCCCCGAAATTTGTGTTTTAAGCTACCCAGGTAGATGACTTATCACAGCGGCCTGGGAAACTGAGACATCCTCAGAAACAGCAGTCTCTTGTAAGCATGCATTTCTGTGGCTCCCCCTAAGCACTTAGAAACCACCAAATAAAGGGAGTCGTTGACCATAGCCCAGAGGCAAAGCTCCAGGCCTACTTTTCTCCAATAAAGAGCAGGCTCTGGCCAGGCTTGGTGGTGCGCACCTTTAATCCCAGCAGTTGGTAGGCAGAGGCAGGTGATCTCTGTGAGTTCAAGGCCAGCCTGGTCTACATAGTGAGTTCCAGGCCACCGGGGGTGGAGGATGGGGTGGCTACAGGGAGACCCTGTCTCAAAACACAAAATAAAATAAAAATAAAAAGAGCCCTGGCATGGTGGCGCACACATTTAATCCTAGCACTCAGGAAGCAGAGGCAGGTGGATCTCTATGAGATCCAAGGCCAGCCTGGTCTACACAGTAAGTTTCAGGCCAGCTGGGGCTACAAGGAGACCCTGGCTCCATAGGCTGGAGAGATGTCTCAGTGGTTAAGAACATTGACTGCTCTTGAAGAGGAACCCGGTTCAAATCCCAGCACCCACATGGCAGCTAACAACTGTCCGTAACTCCAGTTCCAGGGAATCCGACAGCCTCTTCTGTCTTCTTTGGGCACTGCATGACACAGGTGCACTTACATACATGTATGCAGGCAATACATGAACGCACATAAAATACAAATAATAAAATACTTTTTTAAAAAAAGGCTCTGGAAGCCAGGCGTGGTGGCGCACACCTTTAATCCCAGCACTCGGGAGGCAGAAGCAGGCAGATCTCTGTGAGTTCAAGGCCAGCCTGGTCTACATAGTGAGTTCCAGGACAGCTGGGGCTACAGGGAGACCAAAAAGACCAAAAAAGACCAAAAAGAAAAGGCTTTAGAAGGAGATCTTCCCTGACCCCATGCAGCTGTCTGTGCCCACCCCAGAGGGTGGGTCCTAGGACAACTACCCTGAGGCATTCTGTCTTCTCTCTGCCTCACTGCTCACTTTAGTGACAGAAGTTCCTGTACTATGTGTAAGGAACAAGGTATTGGGGAACCCAAGTGATGTCCTCAGCCAGGAAGCATCCAGCAAGACCCCCACCATGACAGCTACCCCTCCCGGCATGCCCTATATGCCCTATTCTCTCTCTCTCTCGCTCTCTCTCTCTCTCCTCCCTCCTCTCTCCTCTTTCTCTCTCTCCCTCTCTTTTGAAACAGGGTCTCCCTGTAGCCCCAGCTGACCTGGAACTCACCATATAGAGCAGGCTGACCTTGAACTCACAGAGATCTGCCTGCCTCTGCTGCCTGAGTGCTGGGACTAAAGGTGTGCGCCATATGCCTGGGTTCTCTTTTTAATTTTTGTTATTATTTTATTTTTATTTATATGTATGTATGTCGCATGTGTAGTAGCTCCCAGAGGCCAGAAGAGGGTGTCAGATCCCCTAGAACTAGAGTTACAGGCAGGTGTAATTCCCCTGATGTGGGAGCTGGAACTGAACCCAGGGTCCTCTGCAAGAGCAGCCAGTGCTCTTAACTGCTGAACTGTCTCTCCAGCCCCTCTCTCCCTTCCTTTGAGTAAAGTGTTTATAGCAGTTGACCCAGCTTCTCTGCTAAGGAGGAAAGCAGTGGGTGTTAAGAGCAACCAGCTCACCCCTCAGGGGAAGGAGGGGTGGGACAGTGGGAGTGGAGAGAGAGCCTAGAGGAAGGTGGATTTAGGAGCTTGCACCCAGTTGCCCCTTGAATTTGAGTGTCTTTCTTGAGAATTCTTTCCTTTGGGCTGGGTGTAGCTCACTGATAGAGTGGCCATGTATAAGCATTGGGTTTCATCCCCAGCACCCATAGTATTTAAAAAATTATTTCTGGTCGCCGGACGTGGTGGCGCACACCTTTAATCCCAGCACTCGGGAGGCAGAAGCTGGCGGACCTCTGTGAGTTCAAGGCCAGCCTGGTCTACATAGTGAGTTCCAGGACAGCTGGGGCTACAGGGAGACCCTGTCTCAAAAAGACCAAAAAAAAAAAATTATTTCTGGTCAAAGGTCAGAGCAATTTGTGTTGAGCCTGAACCTGAGGAACTGTTCTTAGGACACTTGCCAACAACTTCTCTTCCGTGTCTACTGCTAAAGGGAGACACAGGGGACAGTCCCTGCAGGGAATCTAGGCCCTTCTTCCTGGAAAGGCTCCTGAAATGTGAGACATCATGCTAGTGGTGTGGCTGACTGGTACAGAGTGGTTCTCTGCTAATTCTCTGGGCCACAGAGCTAATTCTCACCCTGAGGAGGATACACATAGACACACACAGAGACACACAGACACACAGACACAGGCACAGATACACAGACATACACACAGACACACAGACACAGACACAGAGACACAGAGACACACAGACACACAGACACAGACACACGCACACACACACAGACACACAGACACACAGACACAGACACACGCACACACACACAGACACAGAGACACACACATAGACACAGAGATACACAGACACACAGACACAGAGACAGAGACACACAGACACACAGACACACAGAGACACAGAGACACACACACAGACACAGAGACACACAGACACACAGACACAGAGACAGAGACACACAGACACACAGACACAGACACACGCACACACACACACAGAGACACAGAGACACACAGACACAGAGACAGAGACACAGACACACAGACACACAGAGACACAGAGACACAGAGACACAGAGACACAGACACACAGACACAGACACACGCACACACACACAGAGACACAGAGACACACACAGACACAGAGACACAGAGACACACAGACACAGACACAGAGACACACAGACACACAGACACACAGACACAGACACACGCACACACACACAGAGACACAGAGACACACACACAGACACAGAGACAGAGACACACAGGCACACAGACACACAGACACAGACACACGCACACACACACACACAGAGACACACACACACACACACGAGAGACACAGAGACACAGAGACACAGACACACAGAGACACAGAGACACACACACTGTGTCAGCAGGGATGGGGGCAGAGCCTCACCCAGATAGTCATTCCTGTTCTGTTTGATGTCAAGGATCTCTCTGATGTTATCCACTGCTGGCTTGGGAGATCCGCCCATGTTGGACTTCCCTAGGACAGAGAAAGAACTGTCTGTCTGGGTGGACATGAGAATTCCTCACAGCCCTGGGGGTCTGGGAAGCGTCTGGCCATTTAAAACTACTCCCTTTACTGAGACTTCCCACATTCCAGACTGGTCCAGAGGCTTCCTATGCTCCGTTTTGATTTTTTTTTAAACATGTAGTCCAGGCTGACCTCCAAGTTTCTATGTAGACAAGGATGGCCTTGAACTCCTGATCCTCTACCTCCCCAAGGGCTGGGACTCCAGGCACTTACCACCATGCCAGGATCAAAGGTGCACATACTTCTAACTTAATTCTCATGAAACCCTGGGAAATACGGGCATCCTTATTTCTAAAGTGAGACAGCGGAGTCCTGGGGGAGCTCTGTGTTTACACTAAATCCTGGAGGCCCGAGGGACTACAGACGGCTTCCATTCATGCCCAGAGCAGCTGTGGCTCCCAGTCCAGCAAGGCG